CTCTAACCGGTTCCGGTTCCAATATCTCAAGAACCGCCGGTTCCGGTTCCTGTCAAAAAGGGCGGGTACCCGCCTATGCTCACCCCTGTCAGTTCACGAGAGACGATACCACCAACCACGACCCCTCCATTAGTTCGTGTGTGACATTTTGTTATAAAAATCAAAGAATTAAGAAGTCATTTAATCATTTTGTTACTCACTTAGTTGTGTTTTAGATACTAAGATTTCAACAGCAAGCTAATAAATCTGAAAATCTGGAATAGATAAGACAAGAAGCTGGAAAATCTGGAATAGACAAGACGAGAAGCTGAAAAATTTGGAATAGACAAGACGAGAAGCTGAAAATTGAAGGGGGAATCGGGACCAGAAACCCGACCCGAACTGACTCGATACCCGTGTGGTTTATCTAACATTAGCGGGTTTCGGGTTCCATAACCCCCCAATATAATTTATTAAAATAATAATAATTATTATATTATATGATTATATTGTGTTTTCCAATTTCTTTTGTGGTTGAAACTTGTCTCCATATGAATGTGTAACACATGCGACGTGCCAACCGCTTCAATCATCATTCAATTCTTTCTGAACCCCCATCTTCTTCCTCCACTCATCCCTCATCTCTTCAATGGCTTCCGCAACCAAAGTCGTCCATGAATTCCCCTTTTTCTTCAAGGTGTACGAAGACGGCCGGATCGAGCGCTTCCTCACCACCCCTCGTTTGCCACCCTCCACAGATCCCACCACCGGCGTTCAGTCCAAAGACGTCGTCATCTCATCCGATCTGGAAATCAAGTCCCGTATCTTTCTCCCAAAACTTAATCCTGAAGATCCACCAAAAAAACTTCCCCTCATCATCTACGTCCACGGCGGCGGATTCTGCATCGGATCACCGTTCAACGTCATCACACAGGGATTCCTGACGCCGTTAGTCTCCCAAATCCCCGCCGTCGTTATCGCCGTTGGATACAGACTCGCTCCGGAACACCCTCTCCCCACCGCCTACGACGACTGCTGGGCCACGTTCCAGTGGATCGACTCTCACGCAACCGGTTCAGGACCCGACCCATGGATCAACGAGTACGTGGACACAACTCGGGTTTTCTTGATGGGGGAGAGCGCCGGGGCGAATTTGGCCCAATACCTGGCGGTTCAAGCCGGAGTCAATAAAACCCGTTTGGGTATCCGTGGGTTGTTAGCGATTCACCCGTATTTCTCACAGAAAGAACCCGACAAGTTGATCCAGTACTTGTACCCGACTAGTTCCGGGTCGGATGATGAAGCAAAACTGAACCCACGTTCGGATCCGGATCTTGAGAAAATGGGTTGCTCCAATGTGCTGATAGTAGTTGCAGAAAAGGACTTTTTAAGACCAAGAGGGATGGATTATATGGAGGCATTAAAGAAGAGTAAATGGGAAGGGAAAGTGGAGTTTATGGAGAATGAAGGAGAAGGTCATTGCTTTCATCTCTTCAATCCATCATCTGAAAAGACCAAGGCTTTAGTTCAAGATTTGATTTCTCATGTCAACAAACTACTCTAGGGGCATTTTCGTCATTTTACATTCGTTTCGGAGATAAAAGTAAAAGAAATTAATGATTAATGAATGAGTATGATGATGATGATGATGATGAATTACTCCATGCATCAAGTGTAATTCAGGGTTGTTGAGATTAAAGGTGATTAAGAGTTCATATTTATTCTTACGCTTCTCTTATTAATTTTCATTTTCACACGATTCTTCGCCTATATATAAGATCAATGATAACCACAAGGGTGGTGTCTGATTGGTTTGAGTTTGGCTCCAAAGGTCAAGAGGTCTCAGGTTCAAATCCAAGAAGGAATAAAAATTCCCTTGTGGCCACGGAGGTTCAAATGCGGTAACTCCGAGCTATCTGCAAAGCAGGTGGTCGTTCTGGAATTAGTCGGCTCAGATAGCGGGTTGGATATCCAGGTTAATAAAAAAAGATAAATGATGCATTTGCAATGTTTGACAAGGGTGAAAGTGCCAAAGGTGAGTCGTGCTCACTCTATACAATGAGAGCATTACTATTTACATAAGTAATGTTGTGAGTTCATGCATTTATCATTGAGTTAGTTAAAATATGCATGATGCATTAATACAAGAATTGTATATTACTATGTTAGAGCACCTCCAACCGATCAGTAAAACTGTACGTTTGTCGGCCAAAACCCTCCAACCGGCCAGTAAAATAGCCGACAAAAACTCTATTTGTCATAAAGAACACCAAATATGGCTTGTACTATTTCACCTCCAACAAATCTTTGTGAGAGGAGGATTTTGTAGGGGAAGATTTTACATTGCGGTTAAAGAGGTTTTCTATTTTTAGTGTCAAAGGGCCATAGTTTAGTGTTTTTTGCAGGATAGTGTGCGTTCGAGTTGGTCTTATTTGACGTATTTAGATTTTTTTTTCGTAACTGAGTAATTGGCTAGCGTCATGCATCACAGGATCATGAATGACGTGAATTGATAAAGGAAAAGGTTAGACCTTAGAGTTTCTTTATTCAATATGTTGTTTCATATGATTTAGCATTCATGTTGTAGTATTTTAGGTATCTGAACCCATCATTTGTTGGGTTTAATTCTGATTTGGTCAAATTGGTGGCCAGATCTTTAGGGATGCACCACGTGTGCATGATGGAATTTGTGGAGTATGAGTCTTGAGGCAAAATAAATGGCACGAGCCAGTTTTTAGTTTTTTTTTAGTATAAATAGCTTAGCTTAGCTTTCTTTTATTCAGTTGTAAGTTCCTCGTTCAACTTTTCTTATCAGAAATAAAGTATCAAACATTTGCCCCAATTGTTTCTTCTTTTCGTTGTGTTGTTTTGGGTATATAGATCAAGATATCAGTTCTCTACATCATTTAATTTCCTTAAGTTTGTAAGCATGATTTTGTACTGTTTATGTTTAATCAATGTTATTATCTAAGCGTGAGGCACAAACGATGTGTCTGTTTAATCAATGTTAATACCTTGAATAGTCCCCTATAATATATATATATATATATATATATATATATATATAATCAAATGAGAACTAATTAGTTTGTGGTAACCGTGAGGTCCAATCTCAACCACAAATAAATAGATAAATTAGGAAATTTATATTTTGGTAATTTTGAATTAAAATTTTAATGTAATGACATTTTAGATATTTTAAAACTCTCCTCTCTTCTCTCTCCGTCCCCCGTCCTCCGGTGATACCACAGTGGTATCACAATGCATCTTATATGTGCTTAGATATCACAATGAGGTTGTTTGTGTGGTCGATCGGAGATATAATACAGTGGTATCACAATGCATCTTATATGTGCTTAGGTATCACACTGTGTTTTTTGTTTAACAGAGTCAATATTTTTTTTTCATTTTTTTATAACATCGACCGAAACAAAAAGAAAACAAAAGAAAACATTAAAATGCAGATGTATCTCGTTGCATTATGTAAGTACCTTCTAGTGTTCATAAAAGATACGATCTTATTTTATAAAGATAATAATTAAATTTTTTTTTTTTTTACTTTTGTATTCACGTGTGAATGTTAATTAGCAAATCATGGACGAGCTTGTGTGCCTTGGTCTCTTACTTCTATTTTGTTTTACAACACATTCACATGTGAGGGTTCACTAAAATGTTTATACACCCATGAAATGTTGCTCTTCTTCTCCATTACCTTCATCTTGTTTTACACTACATTCACTTGTGAATGGTCTTTAACAATTAATGGGAAAGATTATGTGTCTTCCTCATTTAATTTATTATGTTTTACAATACATTCACATGCGAATGTTCATTAATTAACTTTAGAATACATATGTGGTTTTCAATATTTAAGTTATTGTAGAAAATATATTTTTCGTGATTGTAATTTCTATACATTCTTCTCACAGAATATGTCCGTATGTCATACTTTATAAATTCACATGTGAATGTCACAAAAAATGTCTAAATTTCGAAAATATAGAGAATATCACAACCGGTTCAATTTCATTTTATTTGCAGAACATTTGAAAATACATAAAAGATATATTACTCGTCTGAATGAAAAAGAAAATGTTATTTTTAATAATTAATAGATTATTCATACTGTATGAAGAGTTGTCCGTTCTCATTTTGCTAGTTTTTTATACAATTTATTTAATTAAAATATTATTATATTTAAATTAATGTAGACTTAAAAAAAAAGCAAATTTATTGTAATTCATACGAAAATGAACAATACAAATTACTCCGATACCCATACGAAATAAAAAGTGACAACTGAATCATAATAATGAGATCGTACGAGATGGACACGTCACCAATAAATATCCCGTAACATGAAAACCACAAACTTTTCTATCTTTAAAAAGATACAAACGATCTAACAAACGTAAAGAAAAGAGCATCTTGAGCATGTGATAATAAAATGTGAGACGTTACATCCAATCACTTTCCATTTTCTTGGGGCCCACCGCTGGTGGACATACTCGGAGGCGGACTTTTTCAATGTAAATAACTCTTGAATTTGTTAGTAATTAATTAGGTTAGAAAAAAAAGTAGCTGTTACGTGTTAAAGTATTCCAATATATGTGTACGTCACGTAATCTTGAAATATATAGAAAAACTGTAAGTATTTTTATATCTAGATATGTAGATTTGGAGGTCGAGCAAGTGTTTATGCAAATGCATCAACGAATTTTGGGTTAAATAAGTATATTTTCGTATTAATATCGATAAAAAAAAACTACATAGAAATGGTATAAATTTGTTTTTATTTTATTTTTATATAATTTTTTATTTTTAATGAGACTAAAAAAGGTATAATGATTAGTCAAAAAAGTATAGGAGGAAAAACGAAATTATTGCAAAGGGTGTGGTTGTGTTCTGATATGGCAAAAGTTTGATATTTTTATCAAAAATAAATTATGGATTTTTTCTAGGTGGTCCTTGCATTTTTTTTTCCTTTCCAAAACCACGTTTATATATATATATATATATATATATATATATATATATTTATACTATATTATAAAGCATTTGGCTAAAACTCTTAAAAACTCTTAAAACTCTTAAACTCATTTATCCTTAAACGATTTCATCCCTATCCGATTTCATCCCATATTTGAATTCGTGTAACTAACTGCARATAAACACAATCAAATGCAGGATAAACATCTCATTTTAAATATAAAAAATCTAAAATATAATTAGTATAATCATTAAATTCTAATAGAATACTTAATTATTATC